CCATAAAACGTTAGGTTAATATGACTATAGAAGCTACTATGAAATTCTAGATTGATAAGACTATACTTCCTCGGGTTATTTCAACTATACTTAAACTATCCTTCAACTATACTTAAACTATACTTCAACTATACTTCAACTATACTTCAACTACACTTCAACTACACTTCTTCTTGTGATTAACCCAGACCTGACCCAATTCACTATAAAACAATACGTTATCATGACTATAGAAGCTACTATAAAATTGTATATTAACATAACTATACTTCCTCGGATTCATCAGTTAAACTACTCGTAAACTCTTCTTCGTATAATTAGATTATTTTCGAGATCTTCGGAGCAACCGTTACCGTGAATTTCACCTTCAATTCTTCCCAAGTAACAAATTACTTACACTTTCCAAACATAGCCATAAATCGTCACGAAGCGTCACCAATCGTCACCAAACACGTTGTATAAACAATCACAAAAAAATTCGTGAAAAACAAAAGGTTCACTCGCGGGGGACAAAGAAATTCTTGGTTTTAAACGTTCGAATATCGCGGTCGGCTTAAGAGGGCCTTTGTTTCGGTCAGTTTGTTGATGTTTGACGAAGTTTGAGAACCGACTCGGTCGCTCGACCTCTGGAAGCACCCGTCGCGACGAGATCGCGCTTACGACTGACACGTTAACTCGTTCTCCGCGGTCGTGCCACAGGCTTTTCCCCCACCCACGCAGCCAACCGCGTATCAATTGAGGGTACTATCACGAGGTCTAGTTCTGTAAAGGTGTCTCGGAAGTGTCCGGTTAACTCGCGAGTTCCTTTGCTGAAGCGACGACTAATTGGGGAGCAACAATTCGTCGACTATCCAAACACCCTATTGTTTCAATCCCCTCTTCTCCTTGGGATCCTCCAAATAAAACCGTAGACAAATAAGTAATGTATTAAAAAAAAAATAGGTATCTTGCTTTCTTACCGTTTAAAATGATACGAAATCAAAGTATGCTTTTGATTTCCGATTTCTAGAATTGGTGCTAGCCTGATGGCCACATGACCTTGAAATACCCACTCTCAAGGTCATTTGAAGGTCAGGTGGTTCTAAATGCACGCAAGCTACGTTACACTTGTATAAAGTGTAATTGATATAATAGGGAAGAGAATTCGAATACGTGTAAGTAAACATTGACGAAGAAACGTTTTTAATTCGTTTATAATGTTGTGAATCGAATAATAGGCAATAAATCTTCTCGTGGAAGGCGAAGGATCAATAACCCTTTCGTTGTGGACGAAACGCGACCTTCTAATTCTCGACTAATAACGCGTCGGATGCGCGCGGGCCCAATTTGCCTATTATCTCGTTGTCAGATTTATTTGTTACACTTCTGGTGACTCACAAGACGAGCCACGTGAGACTTCTTTTCGTTCAGTTTCGATTCTACGGATCATTCTCGTTATTACCTTCAATTATTGTAGAACTTAACGACGCTGAAATTTAGCATACCACCGTTTCTCGTTCGTTTAATTAAATATCGAATATTCATCTCCCGCCGTAACTGTCAAATCGAGGTTTCGATAAACGCGTTTAACAAACGCCTCGATTCGTTCCACTTACAAGTTACATTAGACGGGTCGTAATTCGTTGACGCGTTTAATTAAAAAATAACGCGGGATCGTTAACGACATCTCGTCGATTATTAAACCGCTAAAATTGTCGATTTAACACGTTCAGCAGCCGCTTAATAAATGACGCGTAATCATCACGCGATAATTGTTGCTAAAACGTTTGACCTACATGTTCCCTGGATTCCACTTAGCTTCGGGCCGCGAACTTTTTATTTGACGCGTCGTGTGGAAATTATTTAACAATTACGCGTAGATAAACCGACGACGTCGGCTATCGTACGACACTTTCCATCATTCTTGTTTCTCGATAGTAAACGCACGGCGGTTTCATTGGAATTCTTTTTCTAATATAACGGCGGGTGATTCCGAAGAAAAACGGGAGATAAATGGAGAAAGCGTACGAAGAAAAATTCGCTGTGACAGGCGACGACAGACGATTTTTCAGGAATTTGTTTCGAAGATGTAATCGTTGACGTTACCGAGCGTAAATTTCAATTTTTGTCATGCGCCATTAAACCAAGTATCGCGATTTGTCTGACATATTACGTCTCGTACTACTGTATCCATAATAACCGCCAGTTGAGAAGATTGCAGCGCGATAAGAACAAGTTCTCACTATTCGCAGGAAATTGCTGCAGTCAACGTAATCACGGTAGTCAGTTATTTAATATACTCGAAACAACAAACTGGTATCCACAAAGGAAAACGACTGGACGAATTATCGATGATACTTCATATAATTAATTACCTGTGCCCCGCGGTTTCACCCGCGTGGAATACTATTCTTATACTATAATAACTCCACCTCGACGCTACCTTTTGAGTCCAAATCTTGCCAAAGACTTTCTTTTTATTTAAATATTATGAGGCGTGAATTTGAACCGAATCCATAAATAAGAATTTTAGAAAAAAAAAGCGGCACCAGCGTCACCTAGACGGTTTTAACACAAAAACAAACAATCCGGGGCACCACACGAACATATGTCGCGAATACAAGATGGAGCAAAGTTTTTATACAGTGGGTGTAGAATGTATTCGTACACCGATCAATTTCCCAAAAAAATTTTGTGTGAAATTGTAGTTTCTTAACTTCTTCTTTTTATAATCAATGATATTTTACATATTCTCAGAAGTCTCTAAAATAGATATAGTCCAACAACATTTACTAGTTGATATAATTTGTGAAATTAACAAAAAAATGCGAAAAGTGGGTAAAAGTATAGAAGCAATAAGTATTTGTACGATTCTTATGACGAATCATTTACAGTAGAGTTTGTAACGTAAACACATTAGTTTATTGCTCCGTACGAATCAGAAAACATCAAATTTCCAGGAAAGTATTTTTAAAAAATCCCACTTCGAATAACTAATAATTTAGGTAATTTAACGCTTGGAAGAGTTACAATAATTATAAAATCAAAAGGAAATCTCACGAAGGAAGTATTATATACTTGTGCATCAATGTAAATTTCTTTTTTCTTTAATCAAGTTATAAAAATTAAACAGTTGTGCAAAATACTTGTTGCTTCAATATTTCTATCGATTAATTGCTTTTTGCTTGTTAATTTCGCAACTCACATAAATACCTATTTTTTTGTAATCTATCTATTCTAGAGATTTCCGAGAGTATGTAGAATGTCATTGTTTATAAAAAATAAGTTAATAAATTACAATTTTACATAGTTTTTTTAGAAATTGATCAGTGTACGAATACTTTCTACAGCCACTGTATATTAAGATTACTTCCTAGAATTGTTCAATATGTGCGTTAAACGAATACACCACAAGCTTGTTAAACATTACGTACATTTATTTCATGGCGTCCATACTCCGAGAATTTGTTACATTATATAAACATAGATATTTCGTTTTATGCTAGTACCTAGTTCGATATACCTACATGTGTATAGCTATAATACTTCTAAGCATGCAGTATTCCGTCTTCTCTTTTCTTTTTTTTTTGTATTTTTTTATTTATCGGTAAAACGTGTCGCGCGTTAAACACACTTATACTCCGATTTCGTCACGCAATCACACCGAGTTCCTCATTCATACACGGTTCTTACACGTAGAAATTCTCGTCGAGATCGTCGATTCTTCGGGTGTCGTTCTGACAAATTCACCGATACTCCCTTAACAGAATTCGTTTATCACAGAATCTCGCGCAGAATTCATCAAAGTCGAAGGGCGTGCGAAATAATCGACAACAAGCGTGAACGTTGATCAATATTTGCGTAAGAGTCGAAAAGAATGTTCGTTACGGTGCGATTTACAGACCAACGGGTGAAAAGGAACTGTTGGTTGGTGTCTCTTCTTAGAATTCTACACGTAAAATATAGCAATCTTTCCAGGTTCCGAGCAAAAAGCAGCGTGGTCGTAGAAAACATTTGTTTCACTGTGTATTTGCGTCCGATCAGAGATGGGCATTGCCTTGGATGGCAAAAGTGTATTTAACACATTCACGCTGGCGCTGCTATTTGTGTTTCTTGCCGTGCGGCGGCGCGGTGATACACCCCGTCTGATAGACACACGTGCGCGACCCACCGGTGGTACAAGCCGGCGAAGCCCGATAAGAAAGCCAAGCGCGACCCACCGGTGGTACACGCTGGGGCGAACGTGTTAAAATGAAGATATCTTTATTCGATGAATAACGGTTTTCCTTCAACTTCGTATAAGGCTTTCATCCATATCTTGGCTTTCGTGTGCCTCCGAAGACTTCGAAGAAGGTCCTCTTTATTCGAAGTTGAAAATAAACGGTCCCTCGAATAAAAAGGTATATATATATATATTTGTCGAATAAATTTACATCGAGTTACGTTCTTTTGTTCGCAAAGATTTCGCTCGTCTCTGCTCCCGATGGTTAGTTCTGACGTGTCCAGTTATCGGTATTCCATCTTGGTCTCGTCTCTCGGGAATTAAAGGTAGTAAAATAACCACGACGATAATATCGAGAAGGAACAATAATAATTATATTTATTACGCAGTTTACAGTTATTTAGGTAGGTTGAGTCGATGAAACAAATGCTTTTGCTTTTCCCAAAAAACGAGAGGGGTCCTGGCAACCGGAAGTTGGGACACCCCCCACCCCCTACGAGGAATTACATTTCGGCTGGTTCCGAGAACGAGAGCATTTGCTATACTTTAAGCGTAAAGACTCGTAAAACTGGTATACTTCAGTCGCATGCGCTATAGTCCACCGATCCGTGAAATATATTAAGGTTTCTCGTAAAGTAAATGTACAAATATAACTCGTAGGAATTTCGAGCAATCACAAGTCTCGAACGCTCATCGCCATCGTTTAACCGAATCCCTCGTCTCCTTCCCTCATTATTGTCCAGTATAGACGTTAAGCTTCGTAGAAAACCCTATATCTGTCTCTGTCCCCCCCCCCTCCCACCCCTCCCATCTTCTCTCCTTTCCTCTGTTAAACGTCCAGCGCGACGTTACTCTCGTTACAAGGAGAATTACTCGCACGTATGTTTGGTCGAATGCGGAATTCATTAATGACTACGGCCCTCGCAACTTCCTTCGTATAACTGGCAGCGTCGATACAGGTCTCGGATGTCTCAACCTGGTCTCTGTGTCCTTGCTTTTAACAGAATCGACACACTTCCAGAACTTTGCTAACAATTTCTTCCTTACAGAGTGTACGCAAACAGAATTTTAACCTGATTCGATCAAAAATTGAGCAAAGAAGTCCATAGACCTTGTTTAGAATCTTTGTTTAGAGTTGAGATTAGCTAGGGTGGTCCTTTCATGTTATAATACCTTCATTCATATACGTGTTTGAAGACTTCGAAGAAGTTATGCTTTAAAGTACACATAGTGAAGGAAGTTAAACATCAGACAGGAGTGTCTAATTAACTATATGAACTGGATTTATCCTTAGAACTCTTTCAAGTTGTATGGCATACTGTAGAATTTAGTCTAAAATGGAGTTTGGTCCTATACAGTTTTCAATTTATCATAAAACATGATCAACCATGGGATATTTTCTACCGTGAACTTAGCACAAAATGAAATTTGAATACTCGTCTTGATCCACAGTGGAATATTCCAATTTTATCATTCCTAAAAGAACCAATTAAAATATTCTTCTATTAAGTAAGTTTGGACATACACCAATTGATTATTGCTCGAATGGTAACATGGTACATTAAACCTGCCAAACTCAGATGGCGCCAACGATCGATACCATGAGTCGGTGAAGAAGATCTCTAAGATATCTGTAGAGTTCAGTTAGCGTTCAGCAGAACTTGTAAGAAAGTTTTGAAAACGTCCGATGGTGTCTTATAATGCATTTCTCAATTTGATTTACAGATATTCAGCTCGATACATTGCTTACCAATCGCATCGTGTTCGGATTTCGATGAATTTGAATCGTGTAAAAGTCACGAAATTTTGTTAATGGAATTCACGGTAAATTCACTAGGTATTTGATCGGTAAGCAACGTGTTAACAACAACAACAATCTCCATCAATCGGTAGCTGTGAAACCAAACTCGAACGCATTCAAATCTAATTCGCGAAGAAACTAATTTTCAAACGCAACGCTGTAGGCAACTTACGTCACTATTAATACTATGAAACCGTAAAATACGTCGCTATGGTACATCTATTATTTCACTACGGCGTATAAGGAGAAAATCAGTAATAATAAGTGACACATTCGACGGGTGCTACTAATATATGCTGCGTTATCGCTTCTGCCATCCATTTCTGTTCGATACTTTGTCTTAAAAAACGAATACACAAGTAGATAAAGTAATTTTATCGTAAAGAATTCTATAAAACAACAACAAAAAAAAAAAAAGAGAAATACGAACGTTGGCATAAAATCCTGCATCGAAAATACTAGTTACGAGCATGATAACGTAAAATAAAGATACTCGTTTCTCGTGCGTTCGATATACGAATGGTTATACTACTTAACATAATCTAAAAATACGTTAAGAAAAATTTACCGATCCCCATATGCTGAACACTGTGCACATGGTGAGTATTTTGGTGACCGACGTGACCCTTTGCACTCCACAGAAATATCTTCATATTGTTAGCACGTTTTATGCGACTGTCGCTGTCTGAATGTTACAACAATTTTTCAATTTTACTGTATGGAACCAATATGGCGCCAAAAGCAACGGAAGAAGTTCAAACTGTGAGGGTATCTACTCTGGCGCCCTCGTCGCCCCAAAGAATGACAAAAGTATACAAGATTTGGGACCACGTACCGATATGTATCGGAGCAATTTTGTAAGAATGACACGTAAGACTGGCAATAAGGGTGCAACAGCCTAAATGTACTGGGTTGACCCACCATGATAAAACAGAAAACTGAAACTAAAACTGACCACGCATCGTCTTTTACAGCTACAGTATTTTTTTATGGTTCTTCTCGATGCGCATGCGCGAGTAGAAGCAAGGCTGGTTTCGTTACATAGCGTCGCTTCGTCTTCGTCGCCATCGCCATGCCGTTTTTGGTAAGTGAAAATGTTACAGAGGGATAAAAAATGGTTAAAATTGATCAACATTGAAGATTATCTTCACGGAAGAGGAGTGCAAAGGACTCGATCGTGCTCTACGAGTTCGTTTTTTCTGTAACCCTTTCCACAGTCCACAGTCCACAGTTCACAGTCATTATTTTTTTGAATAATATGGCGCTTCGCAAAAATGGCTTGCCAAACAAGATAGTGTGTGTTTGTGACAAATGGTAAGTAGCAGGATAGTGGACCGCAGCACAGCAAAAGGGTTAAAAGTGTCGACTTTATGTGGAAGTGCATCAAGAATAATCGATAATGATCAAGTCTACCAAAAGTTTTGTGTTCTGGTAGTCCGTGATGAATAAATACGACTTAAATACTGGCAGTGGAAGATGCAATGCAGTTATCCGCAGAGTAGGTACACATTAATTAGGTACGCGAAACATTAAGAGGGACTTAAGTAGTTCGAACGAATCATGCCACCCTGATGAAAACAATCGCAAACTTATCGTCGACGTCTTGATTTATAAATAATGTGCTCATACAAAAATAATTACGCGATCCTCTGCCCCTGGGGCATGAACTGACTGCCCCCGAGTTACATTAGTTACATTCGTTTCGCCATAGACTTACAATTTCTTTTCTCTACTTGCGGTCGCTTATAATTTCTCGACCTGGCGCTTTCATAGACTCTTTTAAGTGCAATTTGCACTGTAAACCTCGAAGCAACGCTTTAGGCCGTGGAATGAAGAATTCGAGGTTCTGAGAGCCTGTTAGTCTTTTTTTGGAGACCTTAGTTAGCATGCTCTAGTCATTCTTCGCCTTCTTCAAGCATCCAGTTGCACACGTTGATTTTACACAGAAAGCTCTTCAAGTCCTATGTTCACTTTGTAATACACTTATGCACAGCGATAGTGATTGAAGTACTGACAGTAATGGCACATAATTTTCAGCATAGATGCTTAATAATTTAGAAGATAGTTTTCTATAATATTAACCATATATGATTGAAACTATGTATTATCAGCTTTGATGTTCCAAATACTATGGTTGTGCACTAGCAGATTAAAGTGTAGTCATCACACTTGAGAACCACATCTCATGAGACAAGAGAGTTATGTTGATGCTCTGTTAACTAAAGTTACTCTTTTGACGGAGAAGTCTTTTGCTCAGTTTTGTTTTTAAATTGAGTGTTATGAAGATTGAACGATTGCCAGTGTTGCAACGAAACACGTGAAAAGGACAAGAAATACTGTATGTCTTTTAAATATACACTCTCCTCCACTGTATTAAATTATTTCACTAATTATCAAGAGGTTAAATATTTACGACAAAGGAACGTTTCTTAAACGATAGGATGATTAAGATAGACAGTAACAAAGTAAACGTAATCGACAAAGGATACAAAATGAAATAGAAATCGTCTTAGGGGTTCAAATTTTTGTTCAAAGTGTCGTTTAAAAATCTCTCCCTTAAGACACTCATCACTTTTTACCGGTGTGAACGCAACTGCATGTTCAATAACGTGTTTATACAAACGTTTACTCAGAGGACAATAGACCTAACAGCCCATCAAGTACCACGATTAACTGGAAATGTTTTGGAGAAACATGAAGCTCCCTATACATCTTTAATACTTATGCGATATCGTTTAATTTTTTACTTTTCTTTTTTCGTCTTTACTTGCGTTTGCATTTAAGTTACAATTATAAATTGTCAGGCATTTAAATGTTGCGAGCATGCAACAGATTTGGAAAATAGTTGCACGAAGCTTGGCTTACTAGCGAAGCATTTACTATACCCGATGTTTAATGCATTCTTAATGCAAAATTTCGATCTCTCAGACTAATTTTTTATTCAAACTGAAACTTACAACACTGAACATTCAAAGAGGGTGATATGACTTATTTAACGACTTTCTCTAAACCGGTCAAAATATTGTGAAAGCAACTACTCTTTCTACTTGTAGGAATGGACATCGCTCAATTAACAATCTCTGATTATAATCATAATTATTATTAAACTTGATTGATGTATAGAGAATATTGGACACGAATTTAGTCGAATATCTAAAAAATTAACGAGGAAAGTTTGGCTTTTGATGAACAGTCAGACTTGAATACAAACTTAAGGAGGCACAGGTAACGCCACTGTAGTGAATCCACAGTAGCGCCATCTACGATCTATACTTCGATGCCCTGGTCAGTCGAGTTTTATAAAAATTAGAGATTATCTATTGAGCAACGAGCCTTGCACCTTGCCAAGTTCGATTGGCAGAATGTGTAACGAGTCTAATGAAAACTCTGAGAGATCGCAATATTAAGCGTGAATTCTTTACATTCGATCATACTCCATCCACCACTGACATCATTCATTAGATCTATTTCACACTGAGCGAACGATGCTGCGTGGTTTCTGCGATCAGTGCGTTAAACTCTTACGTGCGAAACACGTGCGTATCTTGGGTCCATGGTCGCACGGTTTTTCCACTCTCCACTCTCGTCGTTAAACATACGATTAATAATACCTAGTATGCGTTAAACTGTTTCCAATATCGATAGTCCCGTGTCCACGTACGCACGATATATTTTCTTCTCTCCTCGTTCGAATATATATCACACTGAGCCGGCTGTGTGTGTGTGTATGTATGCGGGGGATGTGTATGAGAGTGTGTTCGTCTTGCGAGTGTGTGTCCATCTTCGTTTTCGGCCTGGCAGTTCGCGGCCCAACGTTTTCGTTTACGCGTTTCACGAGGATGCGTCGAGGTCCATGGGTGGAGAGGTTCGTCCCTCTGAATTAATTATAATCGACTCTCGGCACATCTCCCGTGTATGCACACGTAGAAAGTTCAACTTGGGACACTGCTTGGTTCCCGGGGGTTTCCTCCATTCGGTTTCGATACGCCTCGACGAATATCTATGGAACACCTGTGGCGCCCTCTGTCCCGCCATTCTGGCTAGTAGCATTTCCGGGTGCACGTGCACTTGCGCACTAGATCGACGTCCTTTGTGTACCTCATCCCGTCTGCGCAGATCAGTCGAACCTGCAACAAATTCGAGATCATAGGGAGACATTCGTGTTTGTTTGCTCGATTGAAAACAAGGAGCACGTTGGTTCATATAGATGTCTGATCATAGCGAGACCTATACTACTTAGAAATGTATTCACTGCATTTTTGGGGCCCAAAGCTAACGAATATTAATGTATACAGCAATTAGTCCGTACCTTGCGTCGTTTTGTCTTCCGTGGCAGGCAGCACGAGTTGCCACAGCTCCCCCAACACTTGGCAAGCTTCACTGGTCGTCTACTCCGACACCCATTCTCGCTATAGTACTCTCTGGTGTGCTCCTTGCGACACGTCGGTGCTGCAATAGAGATACGCGCGTGATACTTACGTTGTGGTCACTAGGGCACTTTTGAATAGGAAATATTGAAAGTGACTATACCTTTTTCGCAATACCGTCCTTGCCATCCGGTTTGACACCGGCACGTATACGGATACGGACTATCTGCAGACGAGGGCACGCATTGCGAGCCTTTTCTGCATCCGTGTCCCGCGCAGGGATCCGAATTTGTACCGGAGACCGTCATTAGGATGTCTGCAAGTGGATTAACATTTCACCCTTGCTGAAAGTTGTTCTAGCATCGAATGTCTTCCTGTTGCACTCGAAAGAGGAGCACAATAGGTTCCTAGGTACTCACCGGAATGTTCGTGAGCCATGTTCTCTTGTTGCATGGGTTCCTCGTTGCTGCCACTGTTCATCATTCCCTCTGGTTCGATAACGTCTCGCGCTTCGTCAGCCTCCTCGTCGTTAGACATGCATCCAGGAGTCACACGGTGCATTTTCGCAGCGTTGCTGAAGTCTACTAACTTGTGATTGATCCACATCTCGGAGATGCAGCCTGGAGAGGCAATAATCATTGTAATCTCGGAGTATGGAAGCTCTATCGAGTCGTTGGATGGAAATTTACCTTGGAAGCTCGTAATGTTTCTCAAGTGGAACTCCGTGAATGCTACGTTGGCGATTTCTGGCATGACGCCGCCGACGTACATCGGCGCGACGAGCTTCAGGTACTCCTTGGGACCCTCGTTGATAATGCTCCTAGCAGTACCGCGGTCGACCCTCATCGTGAAGTTCTTCTTGATCGCCAGAAGTTCCGCCACGTGGGACTTGCCGTCGGCTACCATTTCGTAACTATACATCGTCGAGGTTGGGTAGTTGCCTACGTCGTACGAGACCCTAACGCGGCCATTGAACAGTTCCACAGCGATGTGGTCGCCGTTCTGGCCGTCGTAGAGGAGAACCCCGTTCTCCTGCGTGGTCGTGAAGACGATGGTCACGTTCGCTTCGGGCTTCGTGCGCAGTGGCTCCAGCTCGACCAGCGAGCTGTTGTCCACGAAGCTCAAACTCGTCAGGTACTCGCATCGTTTTCCTTGAAAGAAAGTATTTAGTCAATGTTAGATTGATCATATGAATTTGATCGTGTAGCCGCCAGCAGAGACATGACTGTACTAAATTTATTTTTACATGAGTAATAAGCGCGATTACTGACCGGTGTAGCCGGGGTGGCACTGGCAGAGGTAGTCCGCGGCGGAAGCGGGAGCTGGTTGGAAGCATGCACCATGCTGACAGTCATGGTGGGCGCATGGACTAGTTTGCGGGTAGAGCATGGCTGTCGAGGGTGCTGCCTCGCAGTACCTTCCTGTGTATTCCGCCGCGCACTTACAAACGTAATTATTTATGCCGTCGATGCAAGTAGCACCGTTCTGAAACATAATAAGGTGTGTGTGAAAGTTTACGGGAAGTGATGTGTCGTACTGTGCAAGAAGGGAAAGCCCTCGTATGTGAAAGGATATCGTGAAAGGTTTTAGTGAGTGAATCTTGCACCGCCATTTAGGCGGAGCGGGGAAATTTTCGATCTTTCCCAGAAAGGTCGGAGATGATGTCTTTCGTAGATTTCCCCTCATGAGAAAAAGGAACAGATAGGTTTGAGTGGTCAGGTGATCGTGCTTCGATTGTGAAGTGAAGACTACAAGAGGATCTAAGAATTACCTGGCACATATGATCAACGCAGTCATCCAAGTTGGTGGAACAATTAAAGCCGGTGAAGCCGATTGGGCATTCGCAGCTATAGTGGGTCCCGTGGTCGACGCATCTGCCCCCGTTCTCGCAGGGGTCGTGCCCTTTTGTGCAAAAGGGTATCTTCTCCTCGCAGTACTCGCCCATGAATCCTGGGGCGCAGTCGCATCTGTAGGCCTGTACGAGGTCGACGCAGGTGGCGTTATTTGCGCACTTGTTGTCCTCGCAGTCGTCGACGTTGTTCTCGCATCGAAGTCCCTTGTACCCGGGGGCGCAGTCGCAACTGTCACACACCGACTGATCGTCAATCGAGACATTGACCATGACCTTCGATCGCGGTGTATCCGCCAATCGATATCGCCGGACGCAACAAACGTAACCACGAGCGTGTCTTTGTAGCCCACGAAGAAGGATTCTTCAGTGATTTTATGGTAATTCGCTTGGACTGACTGCCATTTAATTATTTTTAGAAGAAGAAAAATGGCCGATTAAGAACTGCCACGTCGTTAGGTTGTTGCGTCTGACTGCTACTCTTCGGGGCTCACGTGCAGGGGTCCCGTTTAGTTTATTTACATAAGAGAGCACGGTTTTTCTACGTGCAATTTAGTGCTACTGAAACTACGATCTATAGTCTACGATCACTTTACTTTTACTCAGATCAGACATTGGGAATGCAAAGTTCAATTTTCGTCAAGATCGATGCAGTGTGCTACGATAGATACGCAAAACTACTAGTCATGGATGTTTAGCTGTAATCAGTACATTAAGATTTTACGTGCACGGCTACTCAGTTGTTCAAAGCTACTGACTGCGATCGTGTCTTTCGTGTATGGAAAATTCAGTCATTCGATCTACACTGAATGCACAGGATCAAACTCGTCACTTTGAATCTGCGACAGGATTCTCATTCAAGTGGAAATCCGCAGTTACTCTATGGAAAAGATTCTAGAGCAGGCCAATGCCTAATGCCCATAGATGGAAGGTTCCCAGATGAGCCAAATATATTTGACTGTCAATCGGGAGGCAGGTAAGTCGAAAGACTTTGAACCTGACGAGAACACGTCGCAGACATCACTACTACGGGCACCACTGAACGAGCAAATAGAGGTCAGACCCGAACGAGCTGGCCAAAGTCTACGTGGCAGCTGGCTGGGACGTTCGGTACCTGAATCTTCCTTCCTCCAGTACTTTGCAAGTTCCGGTGTTCCTGCAAGGATTTCCATAGCACGCGTCAATTTTATCTCCACAACGTTCCCCATGATATCCTGGCGCGCACTTGCAACGGAACTGCCGGTCCGGGAGGGTCTCGCAAAATCCTCCGTTCTGGCATGGCGAGGTGTAGCACAGGTCGCACTTGGCCAGGACTTCGGCTGGCTGTTGGCTGGCTGCGCGGAAGAAAGGTCTACGATTAATGAGCAATTTTAGTACTCTATTGTGACGACGGGCCAAAAAACCATGAACTAAACAGACTGCGTCACGGGCCAGTGAGAAAATCAAAAACATCTGCACGTGCGGAGCATAAGGACGATCGCTGGGCAACGGTGGCCAGCTGACTTACGAATGTGGACTCAATGGTAAGCTTTATTCTAAAATAACAACCGACGTAGTGGCGAGATTATAAAGAAAAAAAAAAAAAAAAAGAAAAACGAGAAAATACTGGCTCAAGAGCCTGAAAGTGAAAGGTATTCGAGGTAGTCAGGACATCCTGCGGAATGCATCAGCGAATGGGACCGCGATGAAAAATGTAATTCAGTCGCTGTTGTGTCAGCTTGATTGCCGCAACTGACCACGTTGGCCGCGATCGCGGTATCTGTCATGGAGATACATACTTTTGCATTGGAACGCGGTCGCTGGTGTCGTCAGAAGGAGTTTGTCCCTCATTGTCGGCGGCTCCATGCATCTTGCTATGCCTGCCTCCACGTAGTCCTTCTTCACCCACTCGGCCAACCATCGCATGGTGCAGTCGCAGTAAAGCGGGTTGGACCCCAGAGCGCTATAAACACACCGATTGGTGAATTATCGACGCCGAGGAATGCGGTGGCATTCGCTTCAGGAACGTGAGAGATACTCACAGGTGGGTGATAGATTTGAGATCCTCGAACGCCCCCTCGGGAATCACGGATATGTCGTTGCCGTGGAGAGACCTGGTACAAATCGGAATTTTATGTGATAGCGGGCAATTGTCGACGATATTTGGGTATATTGGCTGCGAAGTGTTAATAGTGTTAAATGTGTCAACGTAGCCAAGCATTGAATAAATTCATTTCGAATTATTCAATTAGACTTGCTGCATCGCCGACGGTAGGTGGAATTTAATTATCTCGTTATTATAATTTGTTATTATTATTGATAATCGCTTCACAAATTGGCTCCGTAAATAAAATTACGTTAAACGTTAAACAAATAAGCGTTAATAATATATGACGAATCATGGCGATAAAAGAGGACGTTTTTGCTCGTTAATTCGGCACATATTGTTTCCGTGACATCGCAAATTCCGTTTATACCGTCATCGATGCTTAATGCGTTCCCAATTATCAATTGTTCTTTCGTTCCATTTACGAAGAACCAAAGCGCGTTGAAAGCTATCGGTGTTTCATTCGGACACGGAAGTTTTGGAAGAAAAATGGTCCTGTTTGTCCGAACCTTTCGCCGCGTTATTTCGAGTAATTCTTCGGCCACAATTTATGGAGAACATTGGGAATACCGAATGCGAAACAAGGATGCAAATCAATGTACTGTTTGAGAAGAAAAGTAATGGAAAATCGAAACTCACATTATTCTCAACGATTTCAAGCCAGCGAGGGCGTTGCGCTGGACACACTGGAGCTTGTTGTAACTGATAATACTGAAAAACAAATAACGAACAGTGAAAAATTTGAATCGTAGGAAATAATGGCAGAGTCTGAACTACGAAGGATATAGCGTTAGTTTCAAGGCAAACTCAAATCAGATTCAAATCAATTCAGATAGAATGCCTGTCTCTATCGTGAAAACCGGAGAGTCAACTTACAGGTGCGACAATTTGGTGAGGTTCTTGAAGGTGTCGTTCGACAGCATTCCGATCTGATTGTTGCTCAGGTCCCTGAAAGCAGAGGGAACGAGGATTTGTTGTATTTTTTTTTGCGAACCTCCTCGGGAACGAAATTGCACGTATATTTTATTTACAGTCTAGTGAGAATCCTCAGGTGGTTCAGCCTCTCTGGCTGGATCGTCTTGATGTCGTTCACGTCCAAATACAGCTCGGTGGTTTCCGGTGGAATCCCACGTGGAATCTCTGTAAGCTGAGACTTCGAACACCTCACCACTGACCCGGCGCACTTACATTGGGGTGGACAGTAATCGTCTCCTAGGCAACCCACGCTGTCGTCTGCGATTCGTAAAGTAGACGGTGGATCGTTAATCTCGGAATCAATTCCAAAAGAAAATACGCCGTATTGTATTTTCAGTATCATCGTTGGCAAGATTCCTTTCTAATTAACGAATTGTAGTTTATTTTCATAGATTCTATCTTCATTGAAAAATATCTCTCTTCAGTTCGGTAACCCCGCTTTTAAGTGAACTTAAAACTTAAAGGAACATGTGGTAGTATCCTCGACGAGGTTAGGTCAACGTAGCGTATTGTATTTTCAGTGATGGCGATCTTAATGTACTCGAGCGATTAAGAGTGATTTGTGTTTTGTTTCTGAACGGAATAAAAGTATCATACTGTTGCATTTAAACTCGTGATGAGGGATATCCTTGATGACGGCGTCCTTCAATCGCGGCGGATCGTGGCAGTGGCCGACCACGTCAGACATGTCGCGTTTCCTCAGCCATCCAACGAACCACGCGAGATGACAATTACAGGACAAAGGATTGCCTTGCATGTTGCTGGAAATGCGAGGCAATTTGTTAAACTGCCATTAATTATGCGCACGGAAGCATGAAATATTTTAGCAGCGGGTATTAGGGAAGTTGGGAGCGAATGCATTAAAACTAAAATGAATATTAACCAGTCACGATCCGCGCGGCCCTTGTATAACGTTACACTGATTAAATATGCAATTTGCGACTACTACTAACCTACTCTTCGAGCAACTTTTACGTATCGTAATCAAGAATAATTGCCAGCCTTTATGACACATTAATTTCATTGCAAGCAGTGGTGATTTACCACCTGAATGTGCAGGTGGCCAAAAGGTGTACCAAAAGCAGTTAATGGAAGAATCATAATTTAATCACGACTAAATAATACTAACTAAATAATTACGCAACTACCAATGCAGTTTACAATCATTCGAAGAGTCAAGGGCAGAAGGCAATCGACTCGTGAATTTGATAAAATGCAGAAACCATTGGAGCACTTCGCGAGAAGGACAGAGAATCATAATTACGTCCAGAGGCTAGTAAAGGAGGGATCGTTCCTTTAAGGACACTTACATGGTGCGTAAGTGCATCATTCCTTCGAACGCGCCCTGCATGACGCAGGTAATGGCGTTCCCGTGAAGGTTCCTGCGAAAATGAAGTACGAAAGGTGTAAGTCGACGGTGATACAGTTTTATGAAGGCGCCATAAAAGTTTCTACTCACAGAGTCTTAAGATTCGTCAAGCCGGTGAACATCTTGTTGTGCACTTCCCTCAGCCTGTTCTCCGACAAGAGTCTGCGAAGCGAAGAGTCGTTATTTTCACGAGACAAGGACGCTCCCCCCCCCCCCCCTCTACCCCAGCCCTCCCGGTGTAAAGTTTCGAAATTATTTGAAGAAAAAAAAAAAGGAAAATTGCCACGCTTCGAAGGTGGTTCGTTCACGCGTCGATGGGAATCGCGCATCGCACGCGTCGGTGCGTCGTTAAATCGACGGAAAAATGGTCGAGGGAATTATTGTTATTTAAGGCAGATCGTTCGATAAATCGTGTCTCGGAACGAAACGTGATATCGCGCGATTCGGGGCAGTGGGGTGTCGATTGCGTTGAAAGTGTCGAAGAGTGAAATTATTTTTAATCGAAGCTATAGGAGGTTACAGTGGCGAATACCTTTTAGTATTAGTCTTATAGTTCGTAAAATTACGGTAACGTTAATATTTGCATCGATATGGGAAAATCGTGGGCATCCCGAACTTCTCGCGTTAAATTCTGTTTCCGCCGGAAATTGTACTTGAATTTCTTTTTTTCACGGTGATACGCGATATTTCAGATCGGTTTCCGCGCTCGTGTGCAGTAAAATACGCGCGAGCTACCGGCATCCTTCACCCCTCGGGCTATCTAATTAATCGACCCATTGTCCCGTTAATTGCCTTTGAAAATTAAATCCTATTCTGCTTCGTTAAAGCTCGTTTCAAAGTCCCGATCGAGTTAGGTACAAATAACGCAAGTAATCTCGACATTCCGAACACTCCCGCTATTATTCCGAACTTTCTCAACGGGAAACGTTTCGTTGAAAACGGTTAACAATATCTGAGCACGCGAAATTACCCCGTGCGAAAATTATTCTCCACTGAATCGATGAATTAAGAAGAGACTAGAACTGGACCGAATAATAATCTGACAAAGGTGTTCGAATAGCACAAAATACACTATAGATGTATTACAAAATATGTTTAATATAACATAGGATAATAATTAGTGTAATATCGGCGTAATGCGTAACAAAGGTAAATACATATTTACTATGCAAAGGGTGGGAAAAGCTATGGGAGGCTATTAACCTAACTTCAAATATGTGACGATGGATATCTCGTCCCTTTGTTTGCGGAGTGCTCGCCTCAAAAGCCCCTATTATCGCGAGGCTTTATCAAAATTTTACTTTATATTCTCATTATGCAACTAAATTTTCAGGTTTAAAGCGTATAGTCGAGATAAATTCATTAAAATTCAAACATTAAATAATTCTCGCGTAATATTCAAATCGATAGAAAGGACAGTGGAATCTAACGAGACTTCCCACCTTTATCAACGGGAATGACACCAAGAAACAGAAAAAAAAAAAAGACAGCGGGAGGTTGCAGAGACACTTACAGGTCGGTGAGCTTGTGCGCCCCCAGAAAGGCTGACGCCTCGACGCGTGAGATTTTGTTCTTCCTGAGGTCCAAATGCTGCAGCTCCGGCAGCTTCTCGAACAGGCCGTCCGCTTTGATCTTATCCAGCTCATTGTTGGCCAACAGCCTGGGCGCAAGGACAAAGAAAAGCCGGGGGACGTGAAAGTTAGAGTCCATCGTAAGCGTCCGATACGGCGAGCAATTAATCGCGCTACGGGGCGGCGATCCATTAAACGAGTTCGAATAATTTATTTCGAATAATAGGTTGGACGTTCGTCGCGCCTAACCGCCCCCGGGCCGGCTTTTAATGAGATAATTATCTTGTCGGCCGATTGAATTAATTTTCTCGCGCTAAGGAAATGAGAGCTCTGAACGCCATTCATTGTGATCGATTGTTCCCTTTTATTTTCCATTCCGACTCGGTAGGGTACGGTTCGAAGGTGAAACTACGCGCCATAGTTGGGAGATCAGGCCAGAGATAGATTGATGTATCGTAGTAGTCTATTAGTTTGTCTGTTACAGTCTATCGATTATCCCGCTTTATCGTCTCAATTAGTGTAGCAAGTTATTCTAATGAGTCGAGTGGGAAAGGTACTCACAATGTGGATGTGTAGATTGGCAGCTCCTTCGGTATCGAGGTTAGTTTCTTGTTGGAGCAGTCGACTGTTGCGCCGTTGCAAGTGCACGGAGCTGGACATTCTCCAGGCAGGATGCACTCGCCAGCCCTCTTCGTCAAGAGCTCTTCGTCGCCTACGAATAAACAGCCGGATATATTCTACTTCAAACAATTTCGTCTGATCCGGCTCTCCTTCTCAGGACCACAGAAACATGTCGTTCTCGGATGAATCGGTGATTAAAGCGCTTAAACCGAACAATTTGGCACGTTGCCTGTTCGGTGGAACGACGAGGATGGTCTCAGGTATTCCTGGACATCTTTCGATGACGATTTGATGATTAACGAATGGTTCGTGGATGAACAAATTTTTTAACAGAATTTTTGGGGTAATGTCCATGTAAAGTATGGTTTTAGTGAAAGCCGTTTTTCTCGTATTGTATAAAATACTGGGCGTATTTCGAGCGAATGTAGTTCGAGCGCAGTTATTACTCCTATTTTTATCTTTTTATTCAGAGAATTTTTAATAACACACATCGCAGTGGGATGTTACTCCGAATAAAAGCCAGAGTAGGTTAGAATTATTCCACACGGAGCTCGGCACAAGTCTACGTATACGCGACATATATAATAGAACTCATGAAATAATGAATCATTCCGAGGGTCACTTCAAAATGCACCTTTATAAAGAAAAAAACAGCACAAACGGGTATAGTATCGTGATAAAAAAAATGCTGGATTGTGTACGTGAAGGGTGTCCAAAAATGTTGGAGGTCCTTGAAAGGGTTGATTCGGGGGATGATTTGAAACAACTTTTTCCTTAGCGAAAATGTTGTCCGAGGCTTCATTATGGAGATATTAACAGAAAACCTCGACCAATCGGAACGCGAGTGCGCCAGTGGAGCGCCCGCAGTAGTGTAGGCTACACGCTAGACGACCGCAGTAGATTAGGCTACGTGCTAGACGGTTGCGGTTCGTAGGCTACGCTCCACCGGCATCCAAGGTGCTCGCAGCAAATGGAACGCCCTGTACAAAGAACACGGTCTGGCACCAGAAACAGCAAATACAATACAAATTCGTACGAGACCGCGGCACCGATACAAGCATCCGTTCCACGCGAGCTCGATTAAGAGAATCAAAGACCGTCCGAAAATAAATATCCACAGGATGCTTGACGAGCAGGCGTTGCGCTCGCAAGAATAACAACAGCAAAACTTTGCTGCCTTTCCTTCTCACGGTTGTATATTTCTTCTAATTGCGCTGGCCCACCGCGCGAAATATAATCGCATCCAGCTACCGTAGCAGCTGGCTCCGTGCACGCCACCAACTTCAGGATAGTAAATGACACCGGAAAATAAACACTTCGCAGGCACGTATGTGCCTCTGTAGCCGCACGTTATCGTTACCCCGCGGTTCCGCAAACGAAAATTTACGTTGGCCGCTCGCGTAAAACTTCGCGGCCAACTTTCCGCAACTTTCGCCGCGGCTTTGCCTGCGCGAGAGAAATTTACGAAAAATTCCTGGGTAAGATGCGATGACGGGGGATCTAGTCGGAATGGAGAGCGACGTTTCTTCGGCTGCACTTGGGACTCCTCGCGTTAGAGGAATTCGGGGCTTTCCTGGTCTCGGTTGGCACGCTTCCGGAGAGACTTTCGCGCTGACAGTAGCGCGGACAACTCGAGGGGCTTGTGCCTCCCTGTTTTTCGTTCGGTCGGAGCTGTCATTTTTTCTTAGGCCTGTAGCACCTGACGCGAGGCTCTCAGAATCGATTCTCGGACAGCTGCCAGCCGGATGACCCTCCTAAAAATCCATCGCGGTCGCGGTAGCGCGTTGATTAATCGAAGTCGAAGAGCGGCGAGCGTGATCACGCGCACCGGGTTACCATGTTAATGCCGCGACGATAAATTTTGATAATGAACAGTAGTAGCGGCGATATCATTAAATTAAGCATCGGCGCAACAACGCCGCTCTCTCTCTCTCTCTCTCTCTCTCTCTCTCTCTCTCTCTCTCTCTC